AGACGGAGAAAAGCAATATCATGCCAATAAAGAAAAATGACAAAACACAATACCATGCCAATGAAGAAAAATGACAGAACACAAACAATACAGAAAAATAAAGACTGAGTAGTACGAATACACCTATGTTGTTGTTGTGTAAAACGAGCTGCTGCTTTACAAAGTTGGACTATCTTGTATCTAAAGTAAGAAACTGGCATCTGCCTTTTCTATTCTTTTAGAACGTTGAAATATTTTTCATTAAAAAATCATTAATGAAACTTTTAACACAAGACCATGCAGAAAAGTGTTGAAGATTATAGAGAATTTGAAAGTTTTGATTTTGTTGCAAAAGTTGAGAGACTGTGATTGAAGATATTTGAATAACTTTTTGAAAATATTACACGGTGGAATATCAAGAAAATTCAACAGTATAATATTTGAAATGGATTTGTGTGCTACGTATCCAATATCAAATAAGTGACGAAAGAAGTTGAAACTAAAAATGGTTGAGAATCCATTGTTAATACATTTTATACCAACAGAGAAAAAAATTGGGGATCGCATAAACTCCAAACAGACCGAGTGCATCGACAAGATAAGCTTCTCCTGAAATGCATAAATCACCCGTCATGCGAATCCTCAAAATATTACGACATAGAAAAGGACACAATGGATACATTTTCAGGACAAACGATCTGTCTGGTGTCCTAAAATCTATGACTGGGATTTTTTTAACACAGATATACATAGAGTATCGCTCAACCATAAAAATAAAACTTTTGCTGTGTCGATTTTAATCGTTCATTCTGATAACCCTCATGGAGGAGTTTTTATGTCAGAAAACACTTCTTTTAATGAAGTCAGAATAATGTAATCATGAATGCGTGGAATATATAAATATATATAGATATGATTCTAACATGACGTTCTTCAAACGCTTTGAGTACACACCCGTGGTAAAATATGAATATATTGTTTGGGCTGTTCCAATCGTACTCCCGCGTCATATGTTTTTTTATGAATGAGCTACCCGACGTCATAGAACGATGACGTAAGAATATAAGCATTTTACGGAAAAATACACGCTTGTGAAACCGAAAATCATCACAACAAGGAAACGTAAACAAACGATGCAAAAATATAGTTATATAAGCCATTTTTTGTATACATATAAGACATATAAGTACAATTATCATTTAGATTCATCCAAACCCATCTAAATATGTTATTGTAAATAGTTTAAGCATGTCATTTATTCAGTTTGCTCCGGTCTTTTACGTCAATTTAATAGTGCGTTTATTTATGGGAACGGCAAATAATGCCTTCATCTAGAGCGCTTCGATCCAAAATAATTGCCGTATTTGTCCTATTAGAATCGAAATAATTCATGGGGCTTGAATATATCGTGATTTTACCACGGGTTGGCCATTTATGACAAATATTTTACCCTGAGCGATAGCAAAAATATTTGTCATAAAGGGCCAACCCGTGGTAAAATCACGATATATTCAAGCCCCCATGAATTATTTCTTAATTATAATCGCTTGGGCAGAGGGTATGTGTCAATCCATCAAACAATCAACACAATATTTTGTTGATAAAAAAATCCAACATTATAATAATTTTGTCTTCAGTGTGATTATTCACAAAGTTAGATATTTCGTATCCTAGAACAAGAAATTTGTAAATACGATTCCAAATTTTGAAAAACTACATTATCAGATGTAAAGCGATCTTTATTTACCATGAGGAATAGTAGTGTATTTTTGTCAATTAAAACCATACTGAATATAATTATTTTTTATACGACCGCAAAAAAATTTTTGTGGTCGTATATTGGTATGACGTTGGCGTCGTCGTCGTCGTCGTCGTTGTTGTCGTCGTCGTCGTCGTACGGCGTCGTTGGAAGACACATTGGTTTTCGCACTCTAACTTTAGTTTAAGTGAATGGATCTCTATGAAATTTTACCACAAGGTTCATTACCACAAAAGGAAGGTTGGGATTGATTTTGGGGGTTATGGTACCAACAGTAAAGGAATTAGGGGCCAAAAAGGGGCCAAAAATAAGCATTTTTGTAACTTCCAGACATAACTTGTGTGTTAGTGTATGGATCTCTCTGACATTGTACCACAAGGTTCCATATCACAAAAGGAATGCTGGGATTGATTTTGGGGGTAATTGCCTAAAATTTTAGGAATAAGGGGCCAAAAAGGGACAAAAAAAAAGCATTTTTCTAGTTTCATGACAATAACTTGTGTGTAAGTGTATAGATCTTTCTGAAATTGTACTACAAGGTTCCATATCACAAAGGGAAAGCTGGAATTAAGTTTGGGGGTAATTGCCGAAATGTTTAGGAATTGGGGGCCAAAAAGGGGCCAAAAATAAGCATTTTTCTAGTTTCCAGACAATAACTTGTGTTCAAGTGTATGGATCTCTCTGGAACTGTACTGCAAGGTACCATACCACAAAAGGAAGGCTGGGATTGATGATGGGGGTAATTGCCTCAATATTTTAGGAATTAGGGGCCAAAAAGGGGCAAAAAACAAGCATTTTTCTAGTTTCAGGACAATAACTTGTGTGTAAGTGTATGGATCTTTCTGAAATTGTACTACAAGGTTCCATATCACAAAGGGAAAGCTGGGTTTGAGTTTGGGGGTAATTGCCCTAAACGTTTAGGAATAAGGGGCCAAAAAACACATTTTTCTAGTTTCCAGACAATAACTTGTGTTCAAGTGTATGGATCTCTCTGAAATTGTACTGCAAGGTACCATACCACAAAGGGAAGGCTGGGATTGAGTTTGGGGATGATGAATCATAAGGGGGTTCAAAAAATTTGGGGGGGGGGGGGGGGTTTTCCCTTTTTTTCTTTTTTTCCTTTTTTTTCTTTTTTTCCTTTTTTTTTTTCTTTTAAAATTTTCCATTTTAAGTTGGTTATTTTTGATTTATATTTAAAAGCAAATAATAATGATATGGTAGGAGATACACACCAAACAGGATGTGTAAATTATTATATAATAAGTATTGTGAAATAGCAAGAAATTTTCAATTGCACAGTATTGCACAATAGCAAGAAATCTTCAATTGCACAGTATTGCGCAATAGCAAGAAATCTTCAATTGCACAGTATTGCGCAATAGCAAGAAATATCCAATAGCACAATATTGCGCAATAGCAAGAAATTGTCAATTGTACAGTATTGCGCAATAGCAAGAAATATTTAATTGCACAGTATTGTGCAAAAGAAGATACTTCGTATAAATTGCTTATTTCTTGACCAAATTCAATGGGGTTTTATTCTTGAATTCTTGGGGTTCTTTTATATGCTGAATCTAACCGTGTATTTAGTTTTTGGATTTTGGGCCCCGTTTTTAAATTGGTCCACATTGAGGTCCAAAGGGTCCAAAATTAAACTTTGTTTGATTTCATCAAAAATTGAATTATTGGGGTTCTTTGATATGCCGAATCTAACCGTGTATTTAGATTCTTAATTTTTGGTTCCGTTTTCAAATTGGTCTACATTAAGGTCCAAAGGGTCCAAAATTAAACTTAGTTTGATTTTAACAAAAATTGAATTCTTAGGGTTCTTTGATATGCTGAATCTAAACATGTATTTAGATTTTTGACTATGGGCCCAGTTTTCAAGTTGGTCCAAATCGGGGTCCAAAATTAAACGTTGTTTGATTTCAACAAAAATTGAATATATGGGGTTCTTTGATATGCTGAATCTAACCATGTATTTTGATTTTTGATTTTTGGGCCCCGTTATCAACTTTGTCCACATGGAGGTCAAAAGGGTCCAAAATTAAACTTTGTTTGATTTCATCAAAAAATGAATTCTTGGGGTTCTTTGATATGCTGAATCTAACCATGTATTTAGATTTTGGATATTGGACCATAATAGGTGAATGTCCAATTTAAAATTTTTAAGTTCTTAGACCACATTTATTCTGTGTCCGAAACCTATGCTGTGTCAAATATTTAATCACAATCCAAATGCAAAGCTGTATCAAGCTTGAATATTGTGTCCATACTTGCCCCAACTGTTCAGGGTTCGACCTCTGCGGTCGTATCAAGCTGCGCCCTGCGGAGCATTTTATTATACACGTATGCACATTCACGATACTACTATCTGTCGATACCTTTATTTTGGCATTGCATAAGGTTATGTTTTTCTCTGACTGTTATTGACGTCAATATACTAAATCCATTGGATGTTGAATGTGTACTGATTGATATTTTAGTCTAAGATAAATGATTTTTTTATTAGTTGTTATTGGCTTTGAATTAGCTGTCAGTAACTGAGAGTACTCTCAGATCTGTACTTTGTGTCTTTTATGGATGTATAAATACCCTGCCATGTCCGGTCTGTGTTTTTTGTTTGAGTTTTGTATCGATCTGATGAGTTAACAGAAAGAATGTGTCGGGTTTAAACATGTTTGTGATCGCTCACAACATAAGAGTAAACTATAAAAGTCAGTTGAAAAGGGCTTAACTCAATCTATTAATGTATCAAGAAAAATACTATGTTTAAATACAAAGAATTTTTGTTTCATGTGACTGTCCCAAGTCAGGAGCCTGTAGTTCAGTGGTTGTCGTTGGTTCATGTCTGTCATATTTTTTTCGTAATTTTTTTTTTATATTAAATTAGGCAATTGTTTTCTCAATTGATATGTTTCATATTTTTCATGTCGGGCCTTTTATAGCCCACTATACAATATTTTTTTCTCTCTCATTATTGAAGGCCTTACGGTTGCCTATAATTGCTTACATCCACTCCATTTGAACTGTGGTGGATAGTTGTCTCCTTGGCAATCACACCACATCTCCTTATCTTTATATAGAATATGAAAGCATCATAGTATTAATATTGTTGCCAAATTATAAAATGAATGTGACCTAGTATGTTGTACAATGTAGTACATTTTTGTTTTAAGAAGCAACCTTCTACCAAGGAAATCAAGCGCAAGCTCTGGAATGGTCAAAATAGTAACTCATTTTCAAACAACTTTATTTTCAGTTAGAAGTACTTTCCCACACCAATTTGACAAATATTCTACACACAACGTTACAGTGACAGAAGGCCAACAGGCGATCCTCCCATGTCATGTTGAATCCAAAAAAGAAATTATGGTAAGTTCTCTAAGATTATATAAAAGTACTTATCGTCCTCACTTTCGCCTATATCACCCTGCTCAGTCGCTCCATGATCCTCGTATACACGGATTTGAGACGTGAGCAAACATTATCAGCGACGTCACAATGTGTGAGGAGACATTATCAAGCTACCGGTAACACTTGGTTGCCATTACATGCTGATTACAGAATTTTGGCAAAATGTGTAATTTCATAGAAAAATATCACTCTTCTTTGACATGAAAAATGAGGTCAAATGAAAATTGATGACAAAATATTTTTTTTGTCTATTGATGATTTCTCCTGTTTTAATTTGAATGCCTTAAAATATGACTTTTTGACAACGGTGACAACCTAACATTTACTCTTTGAAACCCTACTAAAGTGATAAAACAGCAACAGATAATGTGATATGATTTCCACCAAACAACACATATGTCTGGAATAACCTTCATCAGGTACGCACGTGACTATAAAATTCCTGAAAGACAAAAATTTGAACGGAGGAGAGCATAAAACAGATGACTCTAAATAAAGATCAACAACCAAAACCATCTAAGATCAACTTTGCCTGAGGGAGATGCAAGTGAACAATGTTTTAGCGCACCACACGTGTCTCTTAGATAACCTTCAACGGATACGATCGAGACCAAAAGTTTTGAAGGTCAAAAAAATGAAACGGTTGAGAGTATAATACCCAAGGAAGTTTTAATAAAGCAGCCAAAAAAAGTCAAAGGTCAACTTTGCCAACGAGAGTTGCAAATTTGATTTTCTTCGCCTGAAAAAATATGAAATACCATATTGAAGCTTTTTCGTAAAGCATAAGTCGGACAAAGACTGAAACAAGCATTTATGTCAAACTGTCTATTACAATATTTGGTTGGTAGACAATTACCTGGCATTTTTTCCCCTTCATAATGAACTCAGGTTTTAAAAATCAGATTTGGGGTAATTATTTTCTTATGTGTTCGGATCTTCCATAAGTTAACAACAAAAAATCCGAAAATCCAATTAAAATTGACCCTCATAATTTTTTATCCTACTTCCTTCTTTTTTAGTTTTAACTGCATACTGGTGTATTCAATCAAGAGGCAGCATATACTTTTATTCCAATTGCCTTTGCCTCGTTTTTTCTCGTAAAATTTGATCTATTTTTTTATAAGTACACATTACAACAATGTCTTGACTATGTTGGGTGTTACATGAAAATAAAACAGAAAAGTAAAATAATCATTATGTTCATATAAACCAATTATAATTCTATATTTGTAAAATAATAAAAACATATTTCATTTTTTTTTTAAATTCACTTGACCGAAATATGAAATCAAACAGTCTCAATACATACATAAATATAAACAAAAATGATCATTGTTTTTTTATATATATATACATAAGTAGCCATGAATTTGTCTGTCCTTGTTCCATTATCTGTTGGTAAGTGACCACTTTAATGTTAACTCAATATTTAGTATGCAATTTCCATGTCGTCTTAAAGTAAATCGAATAAACAAAAGTATCATAAAGAATCTTTATATATTGATAATTTTTGCCCACATGCATATGGCATATTGAACACTAACGCATGTGATTTTTCTTATATTTGGCTGAATTCAGTGGGGGGAATCCTTGTTTTAAGTCAATACATTTTTCTATGAAGGATTAGTCGTTTTTGATAAAATAGGAATAAATTCACAGTGAGAATTATTGTATAAATATCTACGTTTTGAAATCTTTTGTGTTTTCTACACAGTAAGCCAATCAATCACTTATTGTTTTGGAACGTTTGTTGTTACTTGTACAACGCTTTACAAAGAGGAACAGCGCTAAGAAAGCACCACTGTCTTTGATGTAGAACAATCTATTGGATATTTCTATTGCTATAACGAATAATACCAATCGATCCTAGTAGAATTCTATAGGCATTTCCTTTCATCTAATGTCTTATGATCTCAAATTGACAGTGATTGTTAAAAGTCAAGAAGACTCTAATCACTTCTGAGAATTGGCTGTTGGTTTTAATATGAAAGATAAACAAGGCACGGTAAAGATATTACTTATCTAAATAAATTGTCTCTCTGAAAAATATCATGTCGAATTGTCTTATCAATGAAGATGAATGATAGACAATAATCTATCCAGAGATATATAAACATAACACTAAGAGTTTGTCAAATTTCTGTAAGAGTTTGGAAAACAAGTATTTTAGAATCATTTTTCAACGACTAAGCTGATATCACTCTTGAGACGTCACAATGATCAAACATTGTAAGCCTTCTTTCTGTGTGTTCTGAGTTTACACCGTCTTGTTTATTCATTTCTGAAATTGACTGACGATCTGCAATGTTCTTTCAACATTACACTTGAGCTGAATATACCTGTAATGTTTGCCGCTCGGCAACAAATGGTAAATTTCCATTAATAAAATGCTAGCTGATTTTTATACGACCGCAAAAAAATTTTTGTGGTCGTATATTGGTATGACGTTGGCGTCGTCGTCGTCGTCGTCCGGCGTCGTCCGGCGTCGTCCGAAGACACATTGGTTTTCGCACTCTAACTTTAGTTTAAGTGAATGGATCTTTATGAAATTTTACCACAAGGTTCAATACCACAAAAGGAAGGTTGGGATTGATTTTGGGGGTTATGGTAATAACAGTAAAGGAATTAGGGGCCAAAAAGGGGCCAAAAATAAGCATTTTTGTAACTTCCAGACATAACTTGTGTGTTAGTGTATGGATCTCTCTGACATTGTACCACAAGGTTCCATATCACTAAAGGAATGCTGGGATTGATTTTGGGGGTAATTGCCTCCAAATTTTAGGAATTAGGGGCCAAAAAAGGGGCAAAAAACAAGCATTTTTTCTAGTTTCATGACAATAACTTGTGTGTAAGTGTATGGATCTTTCTGAAATTGTACTACAAGGTTCCATATCACAAAGGGAAAGCTGGGTTTGAGTTTGGGGGTAATTGCCCTAAACGTTTAGGAATTTGGGGCCAAAAAGGGGCCAAAAAACACATTTTTTTCTAGTTTCCAGACAATAACTTGTGTTCAAGTGTATGGATCTCTCTGAAATTGTACTGCAAGGTACCATACCACAAAGGGAAGGCTGGGATTGAGTTTGGGGGTGATGAATCATAATGGGGGTTCAAAAATTTTGGGGGGGATTTATTTTTTTTTTCCTTTTTTTTCTTTTTTTCCTTTTTTGTTTCTTTTAAAATTTTCCATTTTAAGTTGGTTATTTCTGATTTATATTTAAAATCAAATAATAATGATATGGTAGGAGATACACACCAAACAGGATGTGTAAATTATTATATAATAAGTATTGTGCAATAGCAAGAAATTTTCAATTGCACAGTATTGCACAATAGCAAGAAATCTTCAATTGCACAGTATTGCGCAATAGCAAGAAATCTTCAATTGCACAGTATTGCGCAATAGCAAGAAATATCCAATAGCACAATTTTGCGCAATAGCAAGAAATTGTCAATTGTACAGTATTGCGCAATAGCAAGAAATATTTAATAGCACAGGATTGTGCAAAAGAAGATACTTCCTATAAATTGCTTATTTCTTGACCAATTTCAATGGGGTTTTATTCTTGATTTCATGGGGTTCTTTAATATGCTGAATCTAACCGTGTATTTAGTTTTTGGATTTTGGGCCCCGTTTTTAAATTGGTCCACATTGAGGTCCAAAGGGTCCAAAATTAAACTTTGTTTGATTTCATCAAAAATTGAATTATTGGGGTTCTTTGATATGCCGAATCTAACTGTGTATTTAGATTCTTAAATTTTGGTTCCGTTTTCAAATTGGTCTACATTAAGGTCCAAAGGGTCCAAAATTAAACTTAGTTTGATTTTAACAAAAATTGAATTCTTAGGGTTCTTTGATATGCTGAATCTAAACATGTATTTAGATTTTTGATTATGGGCCCAGTTTTCAAGTTGGTCCAAATCGGGGTCCAAAATTAAACTTTGTTTGATTTCAACAAAAATTGAATATATGGGGTTCTTTGATATGCTGAATCTAACCATGTATTTAGATTTTTGATTTTTGGGCCCCGTTATCAACTTTGTCCACATTGAGGTCAAAAGGGTCCAAAATTAAACTTTGTTTGATTTCATCAAAAATTGAATTATTGGGGTTCTTTGATATGCCGAATCTAACCGTGTATTTAGATTCTTAATTTTTGGTTCCGTTTTCAAATTGGTCTACATTAAGGTCCAAAGGGTCCAAAATTAAACTTAGTTTGATTTTAACAAAAATTGAATTCTTAGGGTTCTTTGATATGCTGAATCTAAACATGTATTTAGATTTTTGATTATGGGCCCAGTTTTCAAGTTGGTCCAAATCGGGGTCCAAAATTAAACTTTGTTTGATTTCAACAAAAATTGAATATATGGGGTTCTTTGATATGCTGAATCTAACCATGTATTTTGATTTTTGATTTTTGGGCCCCGTTATCAACTTTGTCCACATTGAGGTCAAAAGGGTCCAAAATTAAACTTTGTTTGATTTCATCAAAAATTGAATTCTTGGGGTTCTTTGATATGCTGAATCTAACCATGTATTTAGATTTTGGATATTGGACCATAATAGGTGAATGTCCAATTTAAAATTTTTAAGTTCTTAGACCACATTCAATCTGTGTTAGAAACCTATGCTGTGTCAAATATTTAATCACAATCCAAATCCAAAGCTGTATCAAGCTTGAATGTTGTGTCCATACTTCCCCCAACTGTTCAGGGTTCGACCTCTGCGGTCGTATCAAGCTGCGCCCTGCGGAGCATTTTATTCAAAATTGTTTGGATTTGTTGTTAACGCATAAGTTACATTCAATTATCATCCTGTGTTTCTGTCGTCGTAGTCAGAATCCCTTACTTCTTTACTCGTGATGGCTAATTGTCTTCAAAGTATGCTCATGTGACACCCTTCAAGATATTCTTGGTTAACCCGCAATATTTTATTTTTTTATTCATATTTTTTGTGGGCTCTTGAATTTTAATTTGAATCATATAATATTCAAATGGTGACTTGGATTTCCTCTTTAAATTAAACATTTAATCAAACTATTCATTGTTGTCTTTCTGTTAGAAATTATTTGATTTATAAAGTCTCTGCCATATAACTTAAAATTAACAATTACAGCTCGGATCCAATCAATCTTTGAATTTCAGATTTCACAATTTTTTTTCGCCTCTTGGGTTTTAAAGACATTTGAAAGAAAGTTAAATACTAATTTTTGTAACTCTACAGTGAATGTGGATTTTATATGTGTCATTTTCTTACATTTATGGAATTCAACCAAACATAAAGATTGAAGAGGGAACATTTCATCATTTAAAGGAAATCCTGACTGTAAATTTTCTAAGAGCATACATTTCATGTGCATGATGCAGAATATAAGAATGTGTTTAGCTTAGAATTAGCAATTAGCTTTCCCAAAATACCAAAATAGATAATATGAAACTATCTATCATGAAAATCTCATGGTTCAGATACAATAAACAGAACTGTGAAATTTGTCTATTCTATATAACATGTATGAATTATTGAAAATGATACCATTACTTAAGACGAGACTTAAAAAAACATCGATATTCATAAACATTTCTTTTAATAAAAGGGAATCGAATTTAAATGCATACATTTATTGGTTCTAGTTAAAAATAATTTAAAATATTGGCATAGGTGTAGTTTAATGTTCCTTAATGTAAATCAGTTATGGTAGTATGGAAGTTTAGACAAAAATGATAGAATTTGTTCATACTTAGCAAAACTGTAGCTCAATTTGTGGTATCTTTTTTAAAATACAATAAAAGTACAGGTCACCATGCCCGTTTTCAAGCTGTAGACTGTGCACCATTGTAATAATTAATTTTGTTTTCTTATACTTCACGTAAAGATGCAATATTTTGATTGGCTTATACGAGGATGTTAATTTACTCTATTCTATGGTAAATACTCTATTACCCTTCACGGAGACGCTTGATCAAGTGTGCGCTTTATTAAATACGACTCTATCCTATGGCAAATACTCTATTACCCTTCACGGAGACGCTTGATCATGTGTGCGCTTTATCAAATTCGGATGGTTGTTATGTACAAGAATTTGAAATTTAATCGACAGTAATAACAGAACATTCAGTATAATAAATTAAATAACACATATCTGAGAGGGTGATAGAGCAGATTGTTACCCCTCGAAAAGACATTGTGAACCTTGACTTCGCCTCAGTTGACAATGTTTTCTCGAGGTAACAATCTGCTCTATCACCCTCTCAGCTATGTGTTATTTATATAATGTTTATACACGAAAATTACACGTTGATGTGACAAAAAAGAAAATTAAAGATACATATAAAAGATAACCTTTATTAAAGGATTTCAGAAAATAAAAAAATATTCTGGTGTCACCGTACTTTATCTATTGCCACAGTTGTAGGAACCAAACAAGATAGACCTAACTGACATTTCCTTCAGAAAATTAAATGATATTAGAAACAAATCTGCACCAATAAAACTTACAAACAAAAAATATTCACACATTTATACTGCAACTAGAACATTTCCTGTTGTCTTTCTTTCCTACATATGGATATCAGTGAACACAATCAGAGACTCAATAAAGGATGGCAAATAAGTTTTTTATGTGTTAATGCCTTTTAAAATGGCTATAATTGTAGCCACTTTTATCTGCAGTATTAAACAGTATAAATCAATGTCCGAAAAACCTCTATCAACTTTTTATATGTTCGAAACGAAACTGTTGAAGGGTAGGTTAACCTCTCCATTCCCAGGAAATGTTTCTAGGCCTCGTACAAAACGTTGATATTTTCCTGACATTGACCTATATAAAACAAACACCACCTAAATCTGCAGTTTGGGAATACGAACTGCGACGCAAAAAAAAAAAACAAAAGTGATATATCAGGTACTCAGAAAGTATCTGTTATGACAGTAAATGTTCTATATCAATATTACATTCGCCATTGTTTATTACGATATAAAATATAACATGAAGACGATGAAGATATACAGTGTAACCGATCTTAAGTGTAATTGAATTCTGTTTAAACCGAAAAAGAGAGACGAAAGATACCATAGGGATATTCAATTTTATAAGTCAAAAACAAACTGACAATGCCTTGCCAAAATAACAAAAAACGACCAAAAGACAAACAACAGTACACAGATCACAACATAGAAAACTAAAGACTTTGCAAAACGAACCCCACCTAAAACCCGGGTGAAAGAATTAACGGAACCAATATTACTATACCATTTTGACAATTAATGTTTCTTTAGTGATGCTTGAGGCCAAAATTAACTGAAACCGTGTATCAATACATACAAGTACAATAACTATTCCGTTAATTTAGTAGGTTAAGGTAACCCGATGACCCCTTTATAAAAAAAATCATCAAATAGGTTTTTCTGCACTACACAAAAGAGAAAAAATATCAACAACAAAATCTAATCATCGCGTATTAGCAAAATCTGATTTTGTTTTAATACACTTAATTTTTCAGTTAAGAAATAACAAACTTTTGACTAATTGAGTGTCATTTTAAGCTTAGAAAATATATATTGTATATCTCGGGGATAAGATTCACTATCAACGTCAAACAATGGGACCAGGAATGAAAACTGTACAAGATCCAGATATATATATATACAATTCATTTTGTCATACTTAATTTCATATAATCTCTAATTTCTGCAGATAATATGGATGAATCCCAAAAAGATTATGATATCTGAAAGAGAAAGTCGATATATCGATGACCCTCGTATTAGTGTAGAGCGGCCATTTGTTGGAGACTATAATTTACACATTAGAAATGTACGATACGATGATAGAGGAGAGTACACCTGTAATAGTAATAAAGTTCCTGTAGAATCCAGACGTATAAGACTAATTGTGAAAGGTATTTCCTGTTTAAGTCACTAGAATAATCAAACTAATGCAAAATAGAGAGGTACCAAAGGGACATTCAAACTCATAGTCGAACAAACAAATAAACTGACAACGCTATGGCATAAAACAAAAAAAAAAGACCAAAAGACAAACAGTATACAAAGCACAACATAAAAATCTGAAGACTGAGCAAAACGATCCCCGCCAAAACAGGGGGTGATCTCAGGTACTCCGGGATCCCGAAGGGTATGCAGATCATACTCGTCTTTAGTTAGTACCATCAATAAAGACAACTGCCAAAGACTTCATTACAGTTTTACACATATATAAATTTTGAATTTTGACGCAAGCTTAAGAATTCCTCATTGACCTTAAACTGAAATAATTTTAAAAGGAGTGAAATTAATATAGTTCTCAATGATACAAAAGATGAATGTTTATTTCCTGTATTCTTTGAAACTTCAGTGCCTTCTAAGTTTGTAAGAGATCAACAGCGTGATGAAGTAATAACCAGAGAAGGAACAACCGTCAAACTTACATGTAATGCCACTGGAATACCCACGCCTAATATCACATGGTTTAGACGCTTATCTATAGAAGAAGAGCATCCCGAACGTAAGCTTAATTAGTTTGACAAATATAAGTCCCAGCTAAATAGTTTTAAGTATATATATAATAGCTATTGAGTTACTGGTCTTCTTAGACTAACATAATGTTGCAATCCTTTCTGTTATCTAGTGTTAAATGAAACTGAATTGTAAATTCTGTTTTGTCTTTATTGGTTGTATTTAAGGTTTATGACCCCTTCCACCGTGTAGAACGCCACATGCGGGTGTTGGCTATGTTTGATACGGTGTGGCAGTTTTGAAGCGGAAACGCTGAAAACTGGGAAGAGGTGTTTGTGAAAACAGAGCACTGGAAACGTATGCTTCTGTTTGTTAGAAATAGATTAATGTTCGGTTACCTCCGTCCAATACATTATTTGACAATTTTCAAAAAAGAAATTTTGATACTTTTACTCACCCTGATCGCTTTTTCTCCGCTTCAAAACAGCAATCCCGTGTCCAGATCGCCAACATCCCCAATGTGACGTTCTACATTGTTCCTTCTGGTGGCCTGTGTATCAGGAAATTTTCAAAGTGCAATGATATCAAAATAGCAAAAATCTGAATGAAAAAGGCGAGCCATTCTGTACATACACAAAAGGGATAAGTCGTTAGCATCAATGATATTTATTGTTTTATTGCATTTGATAGAAAATGGCGTTTTATGCTAAATCAAGCCAAGATTTTTACTGAAAGTCCACAAGCTTTATTACAGAGATTTTCGTTATAACATTTTAAACATAAATTACTCACTTGTTTGTCCATATTGTGCTAGCGTTTATTGTTTACAAAAAGTCCTAAACAACCTATACCATTCAAAAAAAAGCTCGTGCTGAGTTACCAAACACGAGTGCACCCTAGAAGGCGTACTTGAATCTGTCCATATTTGTACTCATTTTAACTATCATCTTTTTTTTAAAACTTGTTTTAGGGAAATCATTGCTAGCACTGCATGCAGTTATTAGTCCCGTACCGACGAGGTCGAAGGGGACTTTAGGTTTGCACGCCGTCCGTCTGTCCGTATGTCCATCCGTCAGTCCGGCAAATATGCTTTCCACACTTTTTTTCTTCGTTCTTGAAGATATTGATTTGATATTTGGTATATAGTTTTATCATGACAAGTTACAGATCAAGTTCGAATTTTGTTCCGGTCTGATGATTTAGTCCAGAGTTATGGACCATCATAACTCTGGACCATATCTAATGTTAGAGTACTATGTTAAACCATATTTCTGTACAAAGGGAGATAACTCATTTTTTAAAAGACATTCTTTGTTAAATTATTTGAAGATTTTTTTGGCAGGTTTTGTTTGTTATTTAGTATAAACTAATTTTCTGAAAGCTATATATATAAAAAAATTATGAAGAGAAATCCTTTCATTAGATAATAATCTATTTTTATTAATGTATATATTTCAGTACATTACATTGTGTAGATAAAAGTTGTTGACATTTTATAGATAAGTTACAAATCTATATTAGTTTGTGACAAATGAAAGAAAAAATATTTGGAACTATTAATTATATTTTATTATAATTTGAAAATAGATATACACTGTATTACATCATATCTAATTTTAGAGAACTATTAATCATATCTAATGTTTTTTTCACTCATATAATCAGTTTTCCACACTGTTTTAAGTCATGCTTGAAGATATTGACATGATATTTACTTTTTGTTTACACCATGACAAGTTATAGAACAAGTTAGCATTTTGTTCCAGTAAAATGAATTTTTACCCGGTAGGAGACTATGTATTGCCATGCAATACTCTCAGAATGCTTGTCTCTTATATATTTAGTACAGAATTGTCAAATAGTACAAGGGGAAAGGCTGTGGATTTTCTTTAAAATTAAGCATTGACACAACAAAAGGGTACATAATACTTAGGTTGTTATATACTGGTCATACTTGGATATCACATGAAAAAAAGTTAAACCAATGCAAAGATGAATAGAGGCAACAGTAGTTTACAAGTTTTAAATCTCAATTCTCGATTAAGAAGAAAAATCAAGATAACAAACAAAAACTAAGGGAATAGCATGAAATCCAAAATGAGCGAGACTGGGTGATTCAACAGGGTTAGTGTATCATCTCCTGCTATGCATGTATCCCCGCGATGCAAAATCACACTCGGTCAAAATTTCAAAATTGAAAATACGACGCAATCAGTAAAATTACAGAGTAGACGACTATTCAGAATGGTATGTTTTGAACTAAGACTGCGAGCGAGTTGAGACACATATCTTTTGTTTCGGTCAGCAGATTCGAAATGATGACCGTACAACTTAGGAAGTGTCGATTCCAGTTGGTGTTCCTCATAACTCTGTTGTAGCAGATTTTATGTAAAGAGCAAACCTCTGCTTTTAAAGTTCGTATAGCATGAACACACACGAGCGAAATATATCAATTGAGACATGTAAACGCCATACGATAGAACAGAGGGTATGTAACAGTTTTTTTACCCAGACTTCTCATAGACAGAAAAAGAAATCAAAGTCTTGCAAAGTTCGTTAATTTCACTTTCAGATCTATTGAAGGTTTCCTGTCACTCAAAACCCCACATTTCAGTAGGTGTATCTCAGATACATTTTATCCCAGGGGTCTTGAGATAAGGTATACTACCGAAACTAGATGGTCTGTTTTATACCTTGATCTTTTCCTCGATATTGACACAGATGAACGACTTCGACAAACGTGATGATTTCAACTTTCCCATTGTCAACTTCCATTTTTTTTTAATAGTAACATAATATTTGCCCCATCTTATGGCATTTACATATAATAATACGTTACACTCGTCGATGTTCACGCTATTAGAGCTTCATTAATAGGGGTGTGTTCCTTACACAAATACTGTCACACCAGAGTTACGAGGAAGAACGACTGCAATCGACACTATATGCGATTTACGTTCATATATCAGAAATTGGTTAAACTATACGATGTGTCGATGTTTCAACTCAATAGCGACATACTTTCGCTGCATTAGATCTTTAGATTCCACTATAGGTGTCTGATCTCTAAATTTACAGATTGTTTCCAATTCCCGATTGTGACATTTTGACTAAGGGTGGATTCGCTGCATGTTGATGAATACATAGGATGAGACGCTTACTCTGTCAACGCACTTGGTCTCGCACAGTTTCGAAATCATGTGATTTCCTTTTTTTATACGCCCGTTTACGGGACGTATTATGGTATACCGTTGTCCGTCTGTCCGTCCGTCCGTCCGTCCGTCCGTCCGTCCGTCGTCAACATGTCGGACAATAACTCAAAAGCTCTTTAACCAATTCGTATGAAACTTTGATGAAATGTTTATATCTATTGACGTGAGCTCCCTTTCGTTTTTTGTAAATTTCGAATTTACCGTTTTGGAGTTTTGGGGTTTTATTCATTAAAAAAGGGGGGATTTTCCAGTTTTCGGACAATAACTCAAAAACAATTTCACCAATTTGCAAGAAACTTTGGTGAATTGTTTATTTCTATTGACATGAGCTCCCATTCGTTTATTATAAATTTCGGATTTACTGTTTCGGAGTTTTGGGGTTTTATTCATTAAAAAAGGGGGGATTTTCCAGTTTTCGGACAATAACTCAAAAAAATTTTCACCAATTTGCAAGAAACTTTGGTGAATTGTTTATTAGTCGCCTACCGACGAAGTCAAAGGGGACGTTAGGTTTGCACTCCGTCTGTCTGTCTGTCTGTCTGGACGTCTGTCTGTCTGTCCATCTGTCAGTCCGGCAAATCAGTTTTCCAGACTTTTTTTCTTCGTGCTTGAAGATATTGATTTGATTTTTGGTTTATTGATTTATCATGACAAGTTACAGGTCAAGTTTAATTTTTACGATTTTAGCTTTTCTCTTTGTTCAGTTAGAGCCCTTTCCCTAGAATTAAATTTTTGATGAAATACTTATTAATTAGTAGATTTCTGTTCAAAGGGAAATAACTTATTTTTTAAAAGATAAAATGACATTTTGGATTTTTTTCCTTTTCTTTGGTAAATTGTTTGAAGAATTTAGTGGTAGGTTTGTTTGTCATTCTTGAAGATACTGACTTGATAATTAGTGTATAGTTTTATCATGACAAGTACAGATCAAGTTGGAATTTTGTTCCAGTCTGATAATTTTGTGCAGAGTTATGGTCTTTGGACATAGAAAATTCACTTAGATAATCAGTTTTCAACAGTTTTTTTCGTCATGCTTGAAGATTATGACTTGATATTTTTATGTAGTTTACACCATGACAAGTTATAGATCAAGTTAGAATTTCGTTCCATTACAATGAATTTGTAACCGGTAGGGGACTATGTATTGCCATGCAATACTCACAGAATGCTGGTTTCTATCGACATGAGCTCCCTTTTGATTATTATAAACTTAGACTATAAGTTTACGATTTATGGGGTTTTATTCATTAAAAAAGGGGATTTTACAGTTTTTGGACAATATCCTTAAAGTTTTCATTAAAATTTGATGACTGATTTATATCTATTAAGATAACCTCCCTTTAGTTTTTATAAATTTCAGATATAACATTGAGAAGTTATTGAACTTTATTTGTTTATAGTCTGACAACAGATTTACTAAGTATTGAGCAACAGCACAGTGTATTGCACAAGAAGAAGAAATCTTTATTTGAATATAAATTCAATTCATATAACCAATTTCAAGTTCTTTGACTACGTTTATTCAGAAACCTATAATAAGTCAAGTATTTAATTACAATCCAAATTCAGACCTGTATCAAGCTTGAATATTGTGTCCAGTTTTGCCCCAACTGTTCAGGGTTGGACCTCTGCGGGCGTATCCAGCTGCGCTCAGCGAAGCAGTTTATTGCTTTTTCTTTGATTTGAATCTTCTTTATGTATTTATGAGATTTGAACATCGATAAAAACCTGTTGCCGCAAATTCATAATTGAGTTTACTTTAAACTAATTCCGAAAATATATGGTTTCTTTTTTTCTTTTTGGAATTACGACAAAAAAGTTTCTTCCGGTTTGCCTAAGGTTATAACCGATTGACCCTCTCCACGGTCAAATTTGCTCAAATTTCTAGTTTGGATGTTTGATTTGTGTGTGCTTTGTATTAATCTGATGAATCTAGCCGATTCCTACTGATTTGTACAGTTTGAGGAAATATTTTGTTGATATACCAATGCCCCAGGCTAGGGTGGATTAAGCGCTCACAAAGATGTTTTATCCCGCGACATTTTAGGTGAACTGGAACATAAGGGTTGTCGTTAGTTGCTGTTTGTCGTATTTGCTTCTCGTTTATTGTTTTAAGCATCAATTAGGCAGCTGATTTTGTTTTTGTTTGTTTGTTTGTCTTTTTATTCTTATTTTCACATTTTGTTCATGTCTTTTATAGTTTACTATACGGTATTGGTTTTATCATTCTCGTTTTTCTGACTCTGGCTGTTAGTTGTCTCATTGGCAATAACACTGCCTTGAAAAATATTCACATCAAATACCCTTCATCATTATGATTAAGACCCAATGAATTTACCATGTTGTAGTTTTAAGTTATAATCCATTTTTCTATTATTTAAACCTTTTTTGGGCAATAATGTAAGCGTAGTTTCATTCTGGATTGTATTTTCAATATTTGAAAATAAAGAAAAACAGTTATAAATACAAATGTTGACGAACTGTTTGAACCGAAACAATTAGTTGTCACATACACATTAGAATAGTTGTATACAAGTAGTTTTTCTTTTTGTCTATTTTCTTCTTCTTTCGTTTGGCCATGATACTGATGGTTTTCTTTCGACTTGGTTTTTTATTGTCCCTTTAGTGTTTTTGCCTGCTTTTTATATTGGGCAATCGAAGGAGTGACGCAAAGCGAAGAAAAAAAATAGATGTCTGCTGAAAATGATTGCATATTGACAAACACACATAAAACACTTCGTGGCTATACGTTTCTGACATGGAGAAGGAACTAAACGATTGCAGAATATATTTTTGAAATACGAAATAATTTTCGTTAACTTCAAGCGAGGCCGTCAGCCCTTACGGAAATCCCTATCAAAAGTCGATAATTACAACTATGTGCGTTAATGGAATCGTTTAGAAAACACTATTTTCTATTTTTTCTGTCCCAACTATAGTATGAATATATTTATCCTAAAGCACAGCAGCTGTAACACAAAAAACAAGATTGACAAAAAAAAACACAAGGTGGGGTCTGAACAAATACGACTGTGATGAAAGATGAATATCTTAAGTCAAACCTAATGAATGAATAGATTAAATGTTTAAAAACATCTGTCAAATTCAAGTTGATTTTTAAATCGTGTCTTCCGGAAATTCTCAATAATACATAGATACTTCTTTGACATATATGTTCCATAATATGATAACTAATGACAATTGTTATCAATTAATCATATATCTATCCGCTGACATAAAAACTGCTGTCAGTTTGTTAACCTTAGCAATACTTTTTTTCATAGAGACACACATTTATTGCGTCACAAAAGCCAATTAACTTAATTATTTGTTCTGTTTAATTTGTCCTTGCAGAGGTTGGTAATGTGGGAGAAGTATTAATGATTTATAATATTAGTCGACACTGTGGTGGCATGTATGAGTGCATGGCATTTAATGGAGTATATCCAGCGATTTCAAAAACCATTAAAGTCGAAGTACAATGTGAGTAATTTGAGATTTATATGCTTAGTATATCATTTGTCAGTTCATTACAATGCAGGATTTAACCTTGAAAAATCATTTGATGAAAAATACATTGATAATTTAATACGAAACTTTTATGAATGCGTCAAAAATATTAAAAGGAAGATGTGGTGTGATTGCCAGTGAGACAACTCTCCATCAGAGACCAATTGCAAATGACAAAGAATGTTAGCAACTATAGGTCATCGTACGAAATATAAATCGGACTGATCGATACAAACCACAAACACAACTAACAAAAAATACTAAAGACACAAAGTACTGACCTGGAAGTACTCACAGTTACTGAAAGTAAGTTCAAAGGAAATAACAATCAAAAAACAAAAATCATGTATCTAAGACTAAAATATCAATCAGTACACATCTAACATCCAACGGATTAAGTGTGAAGACGTTATAAATAGTCAGAGAAAAAACATGAGATTGTGCAGTGCCAAAATAAAGGTATCAACAGAATGTAGGACCGTGAATGTTTATAGCAATAATATTTAGTTGAGTTGTAATTCATTTATAACAAATCAATATTTATATCGACAAAAACAATATTCAAAGATCTGATTGCAGTGTTAAATTGTAACCTTTTAGAATAACTTTATGATCGATAAGTTTACCCGGATCGTATCTAAATTTACGGGCTCGATAAACAACATAAACGTACAAATTAGGATGTGCTCTCCCATAATAAGCTTATGGAAAATTATAATACTGTATGATACCGTACAACCACAACTGAAGGTTTATATTTTTCTTACCAATGTCACTGTATTCATTTTTTGCCCCCGTGGTAGCGGTAGCGGCCTTAAGTTTTACCCTTGTCCGTCTGTACGTGCGTACGTACGTCCCAAAATTGGTTACCGATCTCTAACTTGAGATTGCCTCATCCAAATGTTATGAAACTTATACACAATGCTTATTACCACAAAACACAGATCAAGTTTGAATTTTAGTGGCGTCACTTTTACCGTTCTGGACTTATGCCCCTTTATGAATGCAAAATGTCTAGTTTCCGTTCTCTAACTTAAGTTTGCCTCAACCAAATGTTATGAAACTTATACACAATGCTTATCACCACAAAACACAGATCAAGTTTGGTGGCGTCACTTTAACCGTTCTAGAGTTATGCCCCTTTATAAATGGACAAATTGCAAAATTTTTATATTCTTCTAATTAAACTAATAATTTTTTAAATTGGAATTACCTTCCTTTGTCCATGATTATAGTTGAATCAACTACAATCAATGCTTTATACAATGCAATGTTTGATTTTGACTTCCACTGATAAAACACAGATCAAAAAGAATTTGGGTAGTGTCACTTTAACCATTATTGAGTTAAGCCCCTTTATAAATCGAAAGATTGCAAAATTTTTAATTTCCATTCTGTAACTAGTACTAGTACTTAATTAGTTTGCCTCAACCAAATGTTATGAAACTTATACACAATGCTTATTACTACATAATACAGATTAAGTACGAAATTTGGTGGCGACACGTTTACCATTCTTGAGTTATGTCCCTTTATAAACATAAAAATTGCTGATTTTTTTGTTTCCGTTCTCTAACTTTAGTTTGTCTCAACCAAATGTTATAAAACTTATACACAACCGTTCTAGAGTTATGCGTGTTTACAAATAGAAAAATTGCTGAATTTTTAGTTTCTGTTCTCTATTTAAGTTAGCCTCAACCAAATGTTATGAGACTTACACACAATGCTTATTACCACAAAACTCAGATCAAGTTCAAATTTGGGTAGCGTCACTTTACCGTTCTTCAGTTATGTCCCTTTATAACTATATGATATGCAAGCGGGGGCATCATCTGTGGACACATGTGGACGCGATCCACATTTATTGTATGATAATTTTGTGCAAAGACCTTCCATACATATGTGTCGTTACTTTTTTATTACAGTTAAACCTGAAATAACTATAAGAAATAGACGTTTAGGACAGAAAAAGAATAAAGAAACAATGTTAGAGTGTATCGTGACAGCATCTCCACAAGGAGATAATTATTGGAAAAGGGGCAAAAATGAAATCTCTAAAAATGAATATGGTTATAGAGTTGAAATTTATCCTGAAGACGATTATACTATATCAATTTCTTTAAGAATTTTGAATGTTCAAAATGATGACTTTGGTTTATATACTTGTGAAGCCAAAAATGCTTTAGGCATGTCAAGTGATACTATGGAATTATATGGTAAGTACTTGTTTGGCTTACTATTAAAAGTGTTTATATTGTCTAACTTTGATTAGAAGAGAGAAAAACGTTATACACTCTACTTAATCTTCTGTTTATTTGAATTCAAAGATCATAGAGAATTATGATAATATGACATTGAAACCCACCCGTGGCAAGGTGCGTTCGACTGCGATCTTTCTTGACTAAGATTGCTAGTTTTCCTACCGAAGGTCGGTGGTTCTCTCTGGATAATATTGCTTCCGTCATCAATAAAAGTGGTCACCATAGTAAAGCTTAGTGTGCTGACAGCAACCAATCAATCAATCAATCATTTTATGGTTGGAAAGATGGAATAGAACAAATAAATTGGTAAATACAACAAAGCACTTTGCATATAAGTTCCAGTACCAGTAATAAAATGTAATTGTCCAGGGATTTTACTCGTACATGCAAATAGTAGGTTTATTTGGTACAATAAAGTCAGTTTGCAAAGAGGAGCAGTTCAATAATTAACACAACTTCTACTTCTCCGAAGTTGTTTTATGCGTAATTTCTTTTTCCTCCTTTTTAATTGAAATTGTGGTTGTAAATTGCAATCATATATATTGAAGTTAATCATTTGCATTTCTTAATTACAGAATATGTAGAACCAACATTACCGCCAACAACGACAACAACTGTCACTCCAAAACACAAAAAATATAACAGACCTGATAAAACTAGACTTTATAAACAAAACAATTTAGATACAGAAGAAGACAGTTTGGAGTATGTAGATGATGTTGATTACCGAAAAGCATTGTCTCAGAATCCACGTACACAGGTCTCAGGTACAAATCTAATAATTGTAAATAAAAGGGCGATCATTTATTATTCAAGGGAGGAGGATTTTCAAAATCAATTTTCTAAAAAGAACCGAAAACTAATAATCTTGTCCAAGATAGGATGAAAATGAAATGCAGCAAATAATTGTGTACAAAAGTGAAAATAATTCGGCCATGAAACAGGTGACCATGAAAATTCCGTCCGCAAATAATACCTACAGAAAATCCTATGGTCTCGCTCTAATAGGTACTAACCGTGTATATTGTGTTAAAAGTTATGATATCGATTTAATCCCGTGAATGCGTACATCGACTGATTGCAAATTATTTTGAAAAAAATAAAATGAAAAGCATTGATATCACAAACATATTTTAAGGTACAGAAAAAAAATCTCAACTCAAATCCGAAAGGTTTATTTGGACCCTAAATTTCAGAGAAGTTCTAAAATGATTTAATTTAAAACCAGGAAATCCATCTTTAAAATCATGTCAAGACCCAAGCCAAGATAATGAAACAATAGTACTGCATCAACTGCACCAGTTACCTTAGTAAAGCTGTGATGCTGGTCTAATTATTTAAATTTTGTTTTATTTTTTTCATTTCACAGCAATTGAAAACTCTAAAACAACTCTACCTCTCTTTGAATAGCGATTCAAAGCCTTTCTGTGTTAATAAAGATAAAATCAATTACATAGTTACAATAAGAATACTAAGCCTATGCCATATCAGATTTGTATGCAACAGAGACAAACTTAACGCGCGAATCGGCAAAGTTTATTGTAGCTGTGGTTGACCTTTAGCTTACAGTTATATCGCTCATACTAATAAGACAAACTTCTATCAAATTAGCATTCGGAAGCTTTATTGATAATGTCTACCGAGACAATCATATAAGTTGGACCATTTGTCAAAGAAGTCAAATTATCACAGTTTCCGTAATATCATAATATGGCTTTGATACTGAAATTTTCCATACATATTCAAATATTTGTCTCAAATTTGTACATTTCGCAACAATGTAAATTTCCCAGCCTACTCTTTTTCAATTTTCTTTAATGTTACCTTTAAAAAATTAATAAATGGTTATATAAAATGTGAAATATGTTTAGGTTAAAGGTATCAACAACATGTATAAGAGATTAAAAATTAATTATTCAATTCAAAGAAAATCATGAAAACTGTTGATTGATTAGTGAAATGCAATATCCGATAAAGCGTTGAATAATTTCAAACTAAGGACAGCACATGAAAGCCATTCAGTTGATTGCCAATTGGGTCCGCTTAACTTAGAGTTAGTAGTGTAAGGTAAACTATCAAACACAATCGGAGACGTCAGAAAAGTTACAACAGGAATAGTTATTGAATTATGATTTAGATAATTACAATTATGATGAAAACTTTTTTCAAGACTGATGTTTCCTATTTATTGTATGTGTGGTTTTTTTTTTTTGGTTTTTTTTTTTTTTTTGTATTACGTTTCAGCTATTTCTAGTAATTAGCCTTAACTTAAGCAAACACAAAAATAAACCCCCTTAGCGCAGTTTCAATCAATTGTTGAAATGACTATTAACGATGATTTCCATGTCTTTAATATTACTTTTTTGTGAAGTCATTTTCAGGTTTGATTAATTGTATTGGATAATATTGAATTTGAATTTTCACTCAAATACACGAATACGTTTTAAATGTGTCAGTGTATAAAGCAAACTATGCCTCGGGATTTAAGAATTTAAGGAACAAGACTTAATATAATCTATCCTTAATCTACTGACCAAACATAACAGCTGAGTGAATTTTTTATCTTAAATAAAAAAAGTAAGAACACACCAAAGGACAATCAATAACCAGTAGTAGAAGTACAACGAACAACACCATGCTAAAAAATACAAAAAGGCGAAAACAGTCCACAAAACTCTGCACATAAAACTAAAGTTTGAAGAACATGAACACAACCAAAAATCGGTGGAAACTCAAACGGGCAAGTTCCTCTTCTACCAGGGCCACATCTAATGACAATTTGCTTTCGGTAAAGTTACAAACGTGGGGAAAGAGGTTGACACTGTGGCTACGACAAATTGATCATATTCAAGGTCATATGTTCAACAGATATCCAATTACGGTCAACTAAATTACTATGGCGTTCGTTAAATTTTCGATAAGGTGACTTCCTTTGTAAGCAGCAATCTAGTTTCATGGAAAACATAAGAGGAAACGCAAGCTCAAGAATTTCAATCATCAACGTGAAAATATCTACTCGATATCCAGATTTTGCTTGAGTGTTGCTACTTAGAATGGAAAGTTGAGAATTGGATACTTGAATTGATCTATTTATCGTAAAGTTCTCAGCTGACAATCATTGTCATAATTCAGATCCGGAAAGAATAACTTATTAAATTAAAAATGCAGTTAAAAAAGCGAAAATAATGAAATTATCTTGCACAATAAAATCATTCATCTTATCGGTTTCCTTCTGTTTTAAAACTATAAATACTAGAGGTATTGCAGTTCAAATATGAGCATCTTTAAATTTTAATTTTTAGTCATGTTTACCAAACCACTCGCCTTTTTAGGTTTTAGCATAGATGGGCTTTCGAAAATACTGGTGATTGGATTAATCTGGCGCCAAAAATGGGTTCCAATGTGAAATTTCCACTAGTGCTTTTTAATCGTTCGCTATAATGTACTGCGCAAATCAAAATATAAAACAGATTTGGCTGTATCTGTCGTATTCTTTCTTTCATATCAACGGGATAAATGCGATCACACATCCTCTATATAGCAACATTTGAGATTTTAAGGGTAATGCCCCTCTTGCAGAGTCCCACAAGGAATATCTATCAAAACAAGCATTCTGTGAGTATTGCATGGCAATACATAGTCCCCTACCGGTTAAAAATTCATTGTATTGGAACAAAATTCTACCTTGATCTATAACGTGTCATGGTGTAAACTATATAATAAATATCAAGTCAATATCTTCAAGCATGACTAAAAAAAGTGTTGAAAACTGATTATTAGTCCCCTACCGACGAAGTCGAAGGGAACTTTAGGTTTGCACTCCGTCCGTCTGTCTGTCCGTCTGTCTGTCCATCTGTCAGTCCGGCAAATCAGTTTTCCAGACTTTTTTTCTTCGTGCTTAAAGATATTGATTTGATATTTGGTTTATTGATTTATCATGACAAGTTACAGGTCAAGTTCAATTTTCACGATTTTAGCTTTTCTCTTTGTTCAGTTAAAGCCCTTTCCCTAGAATTAAATTTTTGATGATACTTATTAATTAGTAGATTTCTGTTCAAAGGGAAATAACTCATTTTTTAAAAGATTAGATTTTTAAAAGACAAAATGAAATTTTGGATTTTTTTCCTTTTCTTTGGTAAATTGTTTGAAGAATTTAGTGGTAGGTTTGTTTGTCATTCTTTAAGATATTGATTTGATTATTAGTACATAGTTTTATCATGACAAGTTACAGATCAAATTGGAATTTTGTTCCAGTCTGATAATTTTGTGAAGAGTTATGGTCTTTGGATATAGAAAATTCACTTAAATAATCAGTTTTCAACAGTTTATTTCGTCATGCTTGAAGATTTTGACTTGATATTTTTATGTAGTTTACACCATGACAAGTTATAGATCAAAATAAAAGTTCGTTCCATTACAATGAATTTGTAACCGGTAGAGGACTATGTATTGCCATACAATACTCACAGAATGCTTGTTTAAGTGAATTTTCTAAGTCCAAGGATCATAACTCTGCACAAAATCACAGACTGGAACAAAATTCAAACTTGAACTGTAACTTGTCATGATAAAACTATATACCAATTATCAAATCAATATCTTCAAAAATGACCAAAAGAAAAAGTGCGGAAAACTGATTATTTATGTGAATTTTCTAAGTCCCAGGACCATTACTCTGCACAAAATCATCAGATCGAAACAAAATTCGAACTTGATCTGTAACTTGTCATGATAAAACAATAAACCAAATATCAAATCAAAATCTTCAAACATGAAGAAAAAAAGTGAGGAAAACTGATTTGCCGGACTGACGGATGGACACACAGACAGACAGACAGACGGAGTGCAAACCTAAGGTACCCTTCGACTTCGTCGGTAGGGGACTAACAATACAGAGTCTTACTAGGAATATTTAACAAAACGAAACAGAGTCCCTCATGGAATAATTATCAAAACGATCCAGAGTCCCGCAAGGAATATTTATCAAAACGATCCAGAGTCCCGCAAGGAATATTTATCAAAACGATACATAGTCCCGTAAGGAATATTTATCAAAACGGTACAGAGTCCCGCAAGAAATAAGGTGGGCGTAACGCGTTACAGCCAATTTTGTGTATTATATATATATAAGTCTAAATTGAAAACAACGTTCAAACCTATGATTGCGTTGGATAAAAACCGCAATTTTTATACGTGTGCATGCAAAACAAATTTCTTGGTAGAGGGGTCTAAATACAGCACAAACAACATTTTCCAAAAGACCAAAAAGGGAAAAAGTATATTTAAGCAAAACGCATTTGACTAACAGGTCGAACAACGGGTGTTCTTAAACCCTGCTGACTGCCATTGGCGATTGCCAAATAAACCGATTACAAGATGTAACAAAATGGATATCTATTATTAATTTAATACCAAACAGAAAATAATAATCTTGTGGAAAAGATGGTATACCGCAAACATGAGGTGCAAAAATTTGTACACCATATCCGGATTTCGACAATAAATGTCTCTTCAGTGATGTTGGGTATCGAAACGGTATTTGGAAGGCCATAAAATTTACCTCAATTTAAGATAGACTCTGGAATTTTTAAGAGTCCAAATAGGATGAACGGATCATATATACCCGAAGGCATATATAATACAAGCCCAAACGAAAAAATATCAATAAGTCTAAATTGAAAACAACGTTCAAACCTATGATTGCGTTGGATAAAAACCGCAATTTTTGTACGTGTGCATGCAAAACAAATTTCTTGGTAGAGGGGTCTAAATACAGCACAAACAACATTTTCCAAAAGACCAAAAAAGTGAAAAAGTATATTTTAACAAAACGTATTTGACTAGCAGGCTGAACAACCATGCTGACTGCCTTTGGCGATTGCCAAATAAACGGATCACCAGATGTAACAAAATGGATCTTAACTATTAATTTAATACCAAACAGAAAACAATAAACTTGCGGAAAAGATGGTATACCGCAACAAAAGGTGCAAAAATTAGTACACCATATCCGGATTTCGACAGTTAATGTCTCTTCGGTGATGTTAGGTATCGAAACGGTATTTGGAAGGCCATATAATTTACCTCAATTTAGGATAGACTCTTGAATTTTGAAGAGTCGAAATAGGATGAACGGATCATATAAACCCAAAGGTAAATATAATACAAGCTCAAACGAAAAAATATAAACAAATCTAAATTGAAAACAACGTTCAAACCTATGATTGCGTTGGATAAAAACCGCAATTTTTATACGTGTGCATGCAAAACAAATTTCTTGGTAGAGGGGTCTAAATACAGCACAAACAACATTTTCCAAAAGACCAAAAAGGGAAAAAGTATATTTAAGCAAAACGCATTTGACTAACAGGTCGAACAACGGGTGTTCTTAAACCCTGCTGACTGCCATTGGCGATTGCCAAATAAACCGATTACAAGATGTAACAAAATGGATATCTATTATTAATTTAATACCAAACAGAAAATAATAATCTTGTGGAAAAGATGGTATACCGCAAACATGAGGTGCAAAAATTTGTACACCATATCCGGATTTCGACAATAAATGTCTCTTCAGTGATGTTGGGTATCGAAACGGTATTTGGAAGGCCATAAAATTTACCTCAATTTAAGATAGACTCTGGAATTTTTAAGAGTCCAAATAGGATGAACGGATCATATATACCCGAAGGCATATATAATACAAGCCCAAACGAAAAAATATCAATAAGTCTAAATTGAAAACAACGTTCAAACCTATGATTGCGTTGGATAAAAACCGCAATTTTTGTACGTGTGCATGCAAAACAAATTTCTTGGTAGAGGGGTCTAAATACAGCACAAACAACATTTTCCAAAAGACCAAAAAAGTGAAAAAGTATATTTTAACAAAACGTATTTGACTAGCAGGCTGAACAACCATGCTGACTGCCTTTGGCGATTGCCAAATAAACGGATCACCAGATGTAACAAAATGGATCTTAACTATTAATTTAATACCAAACAGAAAACAATAAACTTGCGGAAAAGATGGTATACCGCAACAAAAGGTGCAAAAATTAGTACACCATATCCGGATTTCGACAGTTAATGTCTCTTCGGTGATGTTAGGTATCGAAACGGTATTTGGAAGGCCATATAATTTACCTCAATTTAGGATAGACTCTTGAATTTTGAAGAGTCGAAATAGGATGAACGGATCATATAAACCCAAAGGTAAATATAATACAAGCTCAAACGAAAAAATATAAACAAGTCTAAATTGAAAACAACGTTCAAACCTGTGATTGCGTTGGATAAAAACCGCAATTTTTATACGTGTGCATGCAAAACAAATTTCTTGGTAGAGGGGTCTAAATACAGCACAAACAACATTTTCCAAAAGACCAAAAAAGTGAAAAGTATATTTTAACAAAACGCATTTGACTAGCAGGTTATATATATATATACTGGTGATCCAATGGATGGATCTGTCGTAAAGTTGTCACTTGTTTACACGTAATTATATATATATATGCGTTTGCGCTAAAAGTAGATATACTGTGATTATACTGGTTGACGATATAGGTCGTCATATTAAAATTTCAAATAATTTACTGGTTAAAACTCCTACTGTGTTGACAAATTATGATTCACAAACTCTTGTTGCTGTCTCACCGACGTATACTAGAAATCATTATTCATATATCTGCAGAACATATATTATTTCAATTCTTTCTTATTATATGTATATATATAATAAATTAAAAAAAAAGAAGAAGAAAAAATGGGAAAATAAAGACTTTTATCGGTTTACTTTACACAATTTCAAACTAAACCGTTGTGTTAACGTTACGTAATCAGGTTTCTTGTGGTCATAACTAATGTTGTATGACAAAAGAAGAAATAGTTGCTGTACTAGTGACTTCAGCGCTGCTATGAGATGAAAAATTACTTCTTAAATAACCTCGTTACAAAGAACAAGATCGTTGCATTGACATTAAAACTGGAATGGCTATTGAATATAGATTATTAAGCCTGAGAGCTCTTATAAATGCGTTCGCCAATTTTTATTTTTACTCTTTTAAAATATTTGAGAGCTTTGTGTAACTTAAAACGGGGAAATGTGTAAATTAGAGTACTGGTATTTGGTTCTGCACGGACAAAAAAGTCATATTTGTTTTAATGAATTATTGAAGCCAAATATAGAAAACATTTGGTTTTGATACTCTCGTGCATTTTCCATAAGGCATCCCAAACATTTTGATCTCTGTTTATCGGTATTTTATGAGAGTTGTGACAGAAACATTTTCGTACCCTTGATATTGTTTGATATGTAAAAAGAAGGCTTTGTATAAATATTTAGCGCTTTTGGATTGTTTCATTATACTATGAAGAAAAATTACTTTTTATTTGCAGGTCAAATTGGAACTGGTGAATATGGCAATTCTGCAGTTAAAGTTCGTAATCAGCTTGGTATTTTGTCTTTGACTCTAATTTTATGGAAGTTTGTATTTTAGAATGACGAAGCATTGTTTACAAGAAATAACGAGAAAGTATCATAGAAATCTCACATGTTTTATTATCAAATAGTTGTTCGTCCAATTTGACGATTTATTACTGGTTTAATCTTTTTTATAAGAAAAGATTTTGAGACTTGTAGACAATCTGCTAAAAAGAAACATGGAAGTGAAAAGAAAGCATAATGATTCGTCGAACAAGACATTGTCGAAATGCATAGGTTTGCTTTCCAGTGCGGCTGAAATATTTTGTACATGCTTAAGATTATCATGATGATCTATTATAGTACCTAAAGCTCTTTAAATGTAAAGTTTGAATATTTAAGGTCCATCATGAATCAAATTATTACATTTTGATTGCTATGGATGAAGTAATCTATGTGCCAAATACTACAACATAAAATTGAGTACACTGGTTTCCAATTTTGTATATATTATTACTTCGGTATATACTGCCAACACATACACGACTACTTTACATAGGAAACAAATATGTTTCTGTAGAACATTTAAAATGAAAATTGTAATTGAAATATGAATATTTATAGCTTTCATACCGACTGAGAATTGGACATCGCTTGATGTCAATTAGAGTTAGAGTGAGAGACCCATATTCGCCGCATAATTCGTTCATTTTCACTTACATCCGACCTAATTCGAATATTTGGAACTTTTTATGAAGGTTTCAGAGATTTAACTATATGAAAAAAATGTTTGATAAAGAAATTATCTTCAAAACATTGGTTAATTGTTCTAAAAACGAACGCAAACTCAAGAGTAAATCAAGTTGTTCGTGTACCATGGGGGACACATTTTCGCCGCAATGTATGATATGACCATCCTCATTATCCTGGTATATTATAAAAACGAATGTTTGCAATTACATGAATTAGCTTGAGAGATCATTCTTATACGATTTTTCTCATAAATATTTTCTTTAAGACTGCGCATGATTGCCATATAAATCTTACATAATTGCTAAAATCATTTAAAAACACCTGCGTATTTCTCAATATATGCGAATAACCTTAGAAATGGGGTAAAGAGGAATATCAACAGTTGTAACATTACAAACGGCCTTTACCATCTTTTTAGGCAAGTATTGGGCAAAGGCACACAAATTTTACAAAAAAAATAGCAAAACGGCGAAAATGTTTCCAAGGCGAATATGCGCCACCCACCGTTCAACTTCATTTTAATTTCGTAATGAACGAGCTTTTGGCGAGTTATTTTTTATTACTATCTAAATTATATAACGAGCGTTGATATCAAGCGATATTCAATTTTGTAGAGTTGTTAAACCTATTTCTCTTATGATAAACATTATCTTTGTGTTAAATAAAAATCCCGAGACTATATTTGATCTATTATTTTGCACATACCAGTATGACGTCATATAATGTCCGGGTTCCAGCGTCAAACTTTTTAAAACATTAGACATGTACTGTATATACAATTAACTCTTTTTGTAACTTCATAATATAATAAAATTTTACAAAATAAGATTTTCAGGTGAAAACTGTTAGTGTTTTGTATATTATTGAAGAGATCACATATCTCCGTTGCTACATGTACATCCTTTTGACCTTTGAAAGTCGTCAATGACCAATGGAAATGTCCCAATATCGTTTCATGATGGTGGATAAGCCAATCAAATAAAAGACATTTTCGTATCACACTCCTGCAGTGGGATACAAAAAATATCTCGTCATGCGAAAAATAGATAGCAGGCCACAACCACAAGGGAATGATTTCACACCATTATTTCAAGTATACCATTTGATGATCACCCAAGTCATTAAAACAAAGTTTAAGTCCGTATTAGTATTCAAGATTGTAAAGAATGTAGCTGTATATATAATAGTTGATTTCTGATTCAAGGATTTTATTTTACAGTCTTATTTTCTATTTTCCTTTATGTTTTTATTAGGGATAGATTTTGAATGGTGCAAGTTATGTCATGGACACTGTTTACCTTGTTAGATTTTATATTTTGTATTGTTTCTTCTATTATGAAATAAATTGATTGAATGTATACTAGTATATGAAATGTTTATTTGATAAGAGTGTTCGAATATATGCAAGGTATGTGTCTGACAGTTCATATTATTCCGATGACGGTGATATAAAAATGTATCTAATATAGTATTCAGATGTAGTCGTGTTATACTGTCTGATACAGACATTCATCTGTAGTCGTTTGTATTATATGTAAAAAGACGTTGTTTTTGTTTTTGTGTTTTTTTTTTCGTAATAAATCATTCATATAAAATTGCTATGGTTTTGTTCGTTGGTTCTCTTTTTTCTCAGTATAAAGCAATTCTTAACATCCGTGTTACGTTTTAATTATTATTGAAATGAAGGATACAGGCACTCTTTCATGTCTAAAGATCAACGTTTATCAAATATTTTAAATATAAACACCATGTTATGTGCACTTCCCTTCCAATTTAAGAGAATGTCATTTGTCCACTTGAAATCAGTCATACTAGAAAATAGGATAAGTACACTATTCCATGATAAAAAAAAAAATTCATCCAGAACGATCAGATAAAAGGAATCTTTGACTCTATTGATTGATTGATTGGTGATTAACGCCACTTTCAACACTATTGTGCTATTTCGTGGCGGTCGGTTTTTATTTGTGGAGGAAGCTGGGGTGCCCGGAGAGAACCTTCGTCTTTGACTCTATGGCTGATCTTTATTTCAAAATAGTATGAAGGAACACTTGCTAAAAGGTTCATTTTGGTAAGTTTTATTTCTTTGAAATGACGAATGTAATACGTGTTAGACTCCTATGCTGTGTGTATGTCTTAAAAAAAACTATATAAAGATTATTATTGAACATTAGTCTCCGACATTACTTTTCCCAATAATTCTGTTGCGTGTTTAATTTGTAATTTCTACCGTTGACTTGTCAAATTTAGGAATACGATTTGGATTATCAGTTTATTAATATGAAAGTAATATTATGTCATATCCTTTTAGCCTCTGGGGGGTTTTCTTCGTCTCTTTAATAATACAAAACACGTACTATGCCATTAAATATGAAAACCATTGGACCTTTGCATCAAATTGATTTGTAAAAATATATTCCCGACGCCAAAACCGTTTATAAATCACAACTTTGAAATCAGACAATATTGAATTATGATCCTCTTCGAACAAAGCCTGAGGTTCTTGTACATAAAACAGATATCGTGGAAGGTTAATAAGCAGTTATGCCAGGAAAACGGCTGGCGTGCAACAGATTGAACCTGGGTTAAATCGTATAAAGAAATAATTGAGTAAAATATAATATGAAAACAACAGTAATTAATGCGCTATATGACATCTTCCAAGTAAATTCGATTTGAAATGCTTTGATTATGTACTGTTAGTGATTGTGTTTTCAATTCAATATAATTAAGATTCTTTGAAATGACAGCAAAATTACTTGGTACTAAAGACAAAATAGATGCTTAAAGATGTGATTTCCTTGATAAGAATTAAGATAGACTACGTTTAAACAATTAGCGGTAAAGCAGGACTCTATCTTCTGCAAAAAAACTTAATTAGAATGAAAATATAGGACTAAATGTATAATTAAAGTACTTGTTTATACTGACATTTATCAGTTTTATAGGCCATATCATAACGCTCTAGCACCAATATACTATAAACATTCAATTTAGTATTCCATCAATATAAAAATAGAAAGAGATAGTATGATTGCCAATGAGACTACCATCCACTAGAGTCCAAATAACGTGAATGTAAGAAACTAAAAAGGTCACTGCATGTAAGGCTTTCAACAATTAACAAAAGCCATAGCATATAGTCAGCTATAAAAGGAGGCCCCAACATGACAAAATAAGAAACAATTCAATTGAGAAAAGCCTGATTGAAACAAAAATAATAAACCAAAACAGAAAAACACATGTTATTTTGAAATTCTACATAACAATTAAAATGATAGTCAATTCGGACGCAATTCAAAAAGTATAACTAGTTTCCCGTATTATTTTTTCTTTAACAAGTAAGCATTTTGATAAATAGTTTGTTTTTAAGCGGTACGTGCACAGCAGCAGATACTCGCCCTGTGGACAGCCTGGTCTGATTCTTGTCGAAGGCTAATACTGTTTTCACTCCCATATCTGTACCTGGATTATTATTTCATCAGATATCGGTCGTTGGGATATATCCTTCTTGAACACGCTTACTCGTTGGAATATATCATTATTGAACAGGCTTCATCGTTGGAATATATCCTTATTGAGCATGCTTCATCGTTGGAATAAATCCTTATTGAGCATGTTACATCTTTGGGATATAATGGATCGTGCTAAATCGTTGGAATATTACTGAGCATGCCTTTTATAGCCAACTATACGGTATGGGTTTTTCTCAATGCTGAAGGCCGTACGGTTGGCTATAATTGCTTACATTTACTTCATGCTACATCGTTTGAATATATTTTTATTGAGCATATGGTACACCGTTTGAATATATCCTTATTGAACATGCTACATCGTTGGAATATCCTTATTGAACATGCTTCATCGTTGGAATATATTATTAGTGAGCATGCTACATCGTTGTAATATCCTTATTGAACATGCTACATAGTATGAATATCCTTATTGAACATGCTTCATCGTTGGAATATCCTTATTGAACATGCTTCATCGTTGGAATATATATTTATTAAGCATGGTACATCGTTGGAATACTAGTATATCCTTATTATGCATGCTACATATTCACGTTGTCATCTTGAAACATTTTAATGTCCAGCCTATGATAGAAAGGGCTTTACGGTTTGCGGTCTGTTCGTCCATCCATCTGTTTGTCTGTCTCGTACAGGTTAATTTAAGTTACCATGAAGTTGTGATCACATCAACTTTAAAGCCAATACACATCATAAAATTAAGGAGATATAGTATGATCGCCAATTTGACAACTATCCATCAAAGTTCAAATGAAGTGGACATAAGCAATTAAAGGCAACCGTATGCCCTTCAAAAATGAAAAAAAAATTATACCGTATAGTCGGAAATGTTCATAATGAAGTGGAATTTTCAAATGTATACACCATAGTCTAGTTTATATTTCGGAGTTCCCTGAATATGGTTATGTGATAATGTGAGCGGAGCAAGGTATTCTATGGACTGAAGGTAAGTAAAGAGTATGCTTAACATAATATAGTCAATGAAGGAAACAACTACCGCCACTTTGTTTCTCCTCATTGCTGTATTACCTTAGTCTAGCTAAATATAATATAGTCAATGAAGGAAACAACTAATGCCACTTTGTTTTTCCTCATTGCTATATTGCCTAATTCTAGCTAAATATAATATAGTCAATGAAGGAGACAACCAACACCACTTTGTTTCTCCTCATTGCTGTATTGCCTAATTCTAGCTAAATATAATATAGTCAACGAAGGAGAAAACCAACACCACTTTGTTTTTCCTCATTGCTATATTGCCTTAATCTAGATAAATATAATATAGTCAATGAAGAAACCAACACAAATTTGTTTTTCCTCATTGCTGTATTGTATATCAACCGATTTAGATGATTAATGTTATTCATCAAATTATATTTGACCAACGACATGAGCGAAATAGAGCGATATCAAAACTGAAGCCTTAGAAATATATCCGTTTATTAAATTTATTAGGGACTGTCTAAAACCATTATCAGTTTTATTCTACATGATTAAGCCCACTACGCCAATCAAGTGGCTGTGACCCCAGTAAAACGTATTGAGCGTCTATCTTGTTCTGATAGCTCTTTACTGATTCCTGTTGGATCAAATTGATTATACAGCTCTGCCTTGTCGTTTTAGATTAAAGAAATTGGTAAAGAATAAAGGCAATTTCTCTCACACAATACCCATCTCATCTTGTCAGCCTTTAATATCGTTAGTATTGTCGCTTAACTTCATAAAACACGACCACCACAAAATTAAATAATACAAGAATTATAATATTATATGAAAATCTATCTCAGAATTAAGATCCTGTTTTCTACAAAGTGTCGGAAAATTGCATTAACTCAATTCTTTTCAAAATTATTCTCATTTCTCAGGAGACATGCTTGCTATATACTGAGGTTAATTAGTTCGATGTAAAAGCAAATTACAGCTCGTTAGGTAAATATGCTTTATGAAAACATACCAAGGAAACAAGGTATATAGAATCACAAAGTTTTTAATTACTTCCTCATATTACCATTCAAAGGGATTTCCCTCTATAATTCGTATATAATCATACAAAGATAATTGTCTATTTTAAAAACTTTTTTCAAAGAGCTTTTTGTTTCCAAAATTTAAAGATTTTGGAATTTGACAAACCCGATTCTATTTTTCTCACCAGTTAAAATATGATTTTACATGGACGCAAACCCTTTATGCAGTTTTGCTGTTTCATTTTAAGAAAATGTACTTAAAAATTCAACTAAATACAAAATAACGAAGCTAAAGCAAACGGTTTACCAAGTCTTTTTTTACTATTGCTAACATTGTGAAAAGCAAACAAGCCTTACATTTCCATATATGAAACAAGTCTGTAAAGGAATATAAATTCCTGTTTTGAAATAGAACATATATTGAAGTGCATATGTATCTCGAATACCAATTAATATGACTTCTTTCTAAAATGAAATTTATTGGATATTGCATGTTTTAACGAGAAAGTTAAACACCTTCTAGATATATAAACAGTATTGATTTGTACTGTCACGTATATTTCTACTAAAATAATTAGTATGTACGGATTAAGTTGTCACGGCTGAGATTTATCCCATTGCTTCAGTGTATGTTGCTGTTCCTAGAACACGTAACATCCTCTGAATATAAAGTGGTCTTAGTCACTGTTTGGCATTTACTTCTAAGAATAAAGGATCAGCGATATTAACTCGTTTATTACTGTCACTATGCTTTTTTGTTTCAATTAAAACAAAACGGTTTAGAATAAGGCCGTTAGGCACTTAAAACTTAAGATAAGTTTTCATTAAACACGCATTATAATCGATTGGTACTGACAGATTCATGGGTCTAGACATTTTTTCTTTGTCTCTAAGCACAAGTATTCAATGTTTCAAATTTCCTCTAGCTCTTACTTTGAACGGTTTTCATATTGCAAATTAAAACTTAACTTCAATAAGTATATCCTAGAGTATTATAGTTTGAATCACACATGAAAAAATACCCACATATACATATACATGTACATGTATCAGAGATAACCCTCAGTTTTTGACTGGTTTGTGTTGCTCAATTGTGTTTTA